GTGCAGCGTCATTGTCGGGGGCAGGACCCTCTGGCGCCTCAGCCGCCTCAGGCGGTTCCTCCGCAGCAGGAGCATCCGGCGGGACCGGGAACAGTTCTGCTGGAACCGGTCCCGCTTCTCAAGCCGCTGGCCCGCCAACGATCAAGCGGCCACCGGGAAAACTCGTTTTCGGAAGCAGCAACGCTGCAAAGAAGGTAGGGGCCAATATAACATGCAACAGGCATATGTATTATGTATTATGTATTATGTAAGGCATACGTGTTTCATTTTGTGTTGTTTGTTTTTCCGTCCGTTCCATCGGGATTCGAACACAGGCCAGTATTTCAACAATTCACATACCAGTTAGACTGATGTTACTAATTTCTTACATAATGATGCTGTATTCGCACACCAAACCGTCCGCTATCTCATTTTTGTCCAAGATCATTACTGTGGCCCTGTGCTGCAGTACGACAATATAACAACACTCTGCAACCTTCTTCGTTTGCACAACTACAAACACTGTTACTCTCACCTGCAGCCACCATCATGTTTGTCACAATCACTGCAATATAATGGTCTCTGCAATGTCTGCATCCATACGTCCGTTCCTGATTGTAGACAACCTCCGCATCCGGACATTATATGTCCATTCTGCAGCCATGGGCGTTATACTGAACACATGGTCTTTTATGGTGCCCGTTCTTCTTTCATGTTGGGGCATGCAATGGACATGCCATTTGTCAAGAGAATACCACGTGTTCATCCACATCATCCTTACAATGTATGTCCTCTCTGTCTTCAACAACAGACTGATTTATGAGCTTTTTATTGTCCTTTCCTTTGCTTTCATCTTCACTCCACACTCCTTAGCTTCCCTTACTTCCCTTTGTCTTCCTTGGGTTTGTGATGTCTACATCTCTTCGCTGTGTTCATCCCTTCCCCCTTTACTCTGCCTTTTTCTCACAGTGTACAAGTGGGCCGTCATGGCACACTGGGATTGGGGCAGCTCGTGCTCAACTTCATCAACGCGGCGAGCCTTATACGTCAGAAGCACACCAAACGGGGAGTTGAAAGAAGAATGATAAAAACAAATGGTCTCATTGTGCTCTTCATGATTGTCTTCTGTATTTTATTTGTTTGTTTCGCCAAGTGCACTCTTTTAGTTCGTAGATATGTGACAATATATAGATAAGAAGAAACTTCTGTGTATTCAAGCAGTCGATTGAGTGACGGTTTCTCACCATTATACCCTGAGGACAGAAGCTGTTCTGTAAAGTCCTTCAAGAGAAGACAAATAGAATAGCTAGACGGCCTGACATATTCCTCTTTTGCAAGCGGCTTACGCTTCACATGCATGCTACAAGGCATGTCATCCAGCCTGGTCTGGAAAGGATTTGCCGCCACCAATGACCTCTCTCCAGCCTGATTGCACCAACAAAACATCCAAGAAGCCAATCGGCTATGTAAAAAATAGGTCAGTGAAGCTCCTTCGGGCTTGCCTGACAGAGATTCAATTCACAACAAATCCAGTGCCTGTTTCCCCTTATGCTCAGCAAAGTAGTCAATCAGTCTCCCCAGCCTGCTTCCACCAAAAAAAAGCACAAAGCAATGAATAGGCTATCAGCTATCTACAGAAGTTAGTGGACTGGCTCCTTCAGCTCACTTGACAGAGACTTGTATCACTTCAACACAGTCACTTCCTTTTCCCACTTGTACTCTATGTACCAGCAGCAGAGTCACTAAAACACTCAGCAGACTCAGGCGACAAACGACTCAGGACAGGCGGCAGAACAGTCGATCAGCCATGAAACTCCCACCCTGTTTGCACTGCCAACTTGCTTAAGCTACTGATCCCGGACAAAATGAGGGGCTACTAACCGGAAGGCTTTTTAACTGATCTCTGGACTCCATGGCAGTAGATACATTCAGAAAAGGTCTTAATTGCGGTCAGAAACACCCAGGAAAGTCTTAGAGAATTCAAAATGACCACCTACACCATCTTCGTCGAACAGAAGCAAACGCTTATCAATTGGAGCACATGAGAACATGGACAAGGCTCAATCTGACGCAGGTCGTTGCCAACCCTCAAAAGCGTCAAAAGATCTCAAGAACATTAACTGAAAGGAACATCTTACTCACCAGATTTTTCCGGAGATATGTGCCCCCAAAGGTGGAGTGCCTATACGGGCCTTTCTGGCCCAGCTTCCCTTTCTCCCTGTTAAGTATTTCTTTCATTATTGATATTCCACTATATGCTTCTTTTTTCTGCAAAACCCATCAAACATGGCAGCCAGAGCCAATTAGGAAAAACATTATTTTCTTGGTTTTTGGCCAAAAACGAAAATCAGAAATTTAAATCCGCACGCCCCATCCAACTTCTCCTATGGACTAAACATTCCTGCTCATTTCCACAACTCTGAAAAGATATGGTTTGGGATGATCAGAAAAGTAACGCTCTGGTCTATATGCAAGGAAAGGTGTAGCAGAACCATTGAAGGGCTATCAATACCAAGGGAGAAAGTTTGGGTGGAGACAAGGACACTAATTCAGGCAGAGATTTGTGCAAGTGGCAGAAGACAAGACTCTCCATAACGGAGGATGTGGATCAGCAGCAGAGAACAGAGGAGAAATTTTCAAAGATATGGCTAGCAGGCAGCAAGGTAGCAGAAATAAAGGACTTCCGCATACGATGGAAGGACTGGCACAACTCAGAAGTGTGCCTGAGAAGACAGAGAATCCAGCAAGCTCCATCACAGGCCACATAAGTATCATAGCAAAAGGCTTTGAACCTACAAGTGCGACAAGTGCGAAGACTGTGGCTGTCCCTTCGCTTATCCCTTTCTTGTGCTTCGAGATAAATATGACAGGTCCTATGACAGGTCCTAGTTAGATACACCTGAGAGGAAAGGTGGAAGTAAGGCAAGCTGACAGTCAATCCTCCATACTGCTGGACTAATCAATGCTGATCAGGGATGCTTCGGCCAGACGGAAGGAAGTGTGAGTCCATTGATATTGTCAAATTTTGACTTGCCGGCGGAATAGGAACCGGACCGGCGCTCCCCAGAATGGATATGGAGCCAGGGCCATAAGGACCTGTTTTGTCAAAAAAAAAAAAAAAAAAATCCTCCTTGTAACTGAATGGTACACACATGTAACTGTCAATAGACAGATCAAATCCTTATCAACACCATAACCTTAGAGGCTACAATGCCCTTTATGAAAACAAGTGTATGCCCGTCGCAGACACGGCAGAAGCCATGGCAAAGGGTGGGGAGGGGAGGAACACAACCCCAACATCAGACACAATACAACCCTTCCCATACCCAGGCAGCACCATATTCAATGTGGCCCAACATGCAGACATTTCTTCCATCTGGGCAGGGCCCCTATGTAAATTGTATCCCAACATGCGGCTTCCTCCCATCCAGTCAGGCTGCAATGCGCTTATATTCGGATATCCAGCAGGGATGACACACAAAAAAACAATTGGATCTGCATCTGAACTTCCACCTCCATTTCTACAGGGGTAGAAACTGACCAAAGAAAGAGAGAAACAGTGCCAGGGCTGCAATGGGCTTGTAGGGATTCAAACTTCAGTCAGTTCCGAGTTTTCGCGAGGCTAAGAAAATGACAAACAAAAGAAAACTGAAGCAACACCACCGCCGGTTGCGATGAGATATGAAATCATAAGTCTAAGAAAACGACCAAAAAAAAAAAAGCGAATGACACCAGTGCAGGCTATCATGTACTTGTGTTCAAACATTGAGCAGGAACAACTATGCAGTACAAGTGCGACAAAAACCGCGCACCCTGAAGCATCTGGATTCCAACTTCGGTCCCCTAAAACCCACTAAAGTCACCACCTCAGATCGTAATCCGAGCAGCAAAGAACAATTGGTGCCAACAAGAAATAAACAAACATGATTGAAACATGTATATCTTGTAAGGAAAACGAGCAAGAGCGAAATGACAGAATTCCAAACTGCAATATCACATTGAAAGCCAGATAGTCATGAGCTGTCCAGAAAGCGGAAATGCACCAATACCACACCAGAGGAGACCAAAGCAACGAACTAAATTGTCAAGGTCAGCCCTTGTCTCGCCATGATCAACAATGTGTTCAATGTCTTTCCTCCTACTTGGCACTCAGTGCCCAGACTACAGTCACACAGCTCCGATACTAGCCTACACTGTTGACGACGAAACAGGGAGACCTCAGCAGCAGAACCCGAAGTACATGCAGATGTCGCCCATGCAGACCTCCACAATGAACCAGGTATGTCCCCTCTCTATGCTCACCCTCGTCTTCTCCCCACACTGTCCTCAACCCGAAGACCACCGCCATACCCTGCTGACATTCGTAAGCCCCAGCCCGGCTATGGCTGGCTGGGCTCTGCGCTGCTCCCAGCAGTGCCCCTCACCTCCTGCGCCCATGTGCGCTACCCAGTCTCTCCCTCTAGCAGCTCACCAGCACTCGCAATGGCAGTGCTGCCGCATGCGCACCAAGTGCCCAACAGAATGAAAGGAACCTGGGCACTTTCCTATATGGGAAGTGCTTACCCGACTTGCGGCCGTGTACCCAGTACCTTCGCGTTGGGCCAAAGTGCTTGTGCCCAGGCCCAATTCAGAAAGTGGCCTGGGACCGAAACAGTTAGGCGTGCCCAGCTGTACAACGTGGCCTGGGACACTCACTGTGTCCTGATAAGTCGGAAGGCCGCCTTCCATGTCATGCCAGGAAGAGCCCAGAAGGCTCACGAACCCATGGTTGCATAGCGTGTGGGACCCTTCAAGCACCTGGCGCCCAGTAACTGTCTGGCACCCCAGAGGCCCTGAAAAATGCTTAGGCCTCTGGAAGAAATGCAGGCCCGCCTTACTTAGGGCAGGCACGCTGCTTGCAGCGAGGCTGTGTAAGAGCCTGCCGAGGACGAAAATCCTCGTACTTCCTCCTCCATTACTTTGATAGTCCTCTGAGAAGTCCTTAACCAGCTACCTGTTTACCCTTCAATCTTCTTTCATATCCTGCAACAACCTGTCGAGCAGCCTTCATCAACTCTTCCCTTGTGAACCATCTGTCCTCCTTGGGATCAACATGGTGCCTGATCCGTACACAATACTCCATCTGCGGTTTCCGCGGTCGACCTCTTCCCGGAGGCTTTGGAACAGGCATCATTTGTGCTCGACGATATCATCGATGTCGACATGTCCATCCATGGTTGGGGGCAACATGGAACTTCGTAAATGGAATCGGTCTGACTCAGAAAAAGGTGCAAGTTTGGCGGCATGGAAAACAGGGTATTTGCGTAGGTGTCCCGGGATGCGACTGACGTATGAGAGCCCATCGGGTTCATCTCCCACTATGTCGAGAACTTCCTAGGGTCCGAAATATTGTGGCATGAGTTTCCCAGATATCCCCATCTCTTGACCCATCTCAGATGACTTGACCCAAACTCTATCCCCGATTGAAAGTTCGACAGCTGTCTGTGCCTATTCTCAGATGCAATCATGGCATCTTGAGATGTCTGAATTTGTTCAGCAGCCTGCTGCAGCATTTTGTCATACTTGACACCAAATTCTATGCTGCCAGGTGCTGCCGTGGGCTGGTTTTCAGGCAACAGAAAGTCTAGAGCTTCCAAGCAACGTGCAGCTGGTTGGGAGTCATTCCGGTAGTGTTGTGTACTGCGTTGTTGTATAGGCTGGCCATGAGAGAGAACTTCTCATCCCAGTCATCCTGGCTCGGCTTGATTAGTGCCGAAGCAGTGCTGCACTACTTGGTTCATCTGTTCCGCTTGGCCATTTCAGTCAGGATGATTCCCTGAAGTCATCTGCAGTTGGGTGCCCATTTGCCTGGCCGTGCTCTGCCACAACTCACTCCTGAACCAGGTATACTTACTAAATCTGTCCACAATGACGAAGATGCGCCGCTTACCGCTTTTGCTGGTCACGAGTGCATCCATGAAGTCCATGGACACACTCTGCCCTGGGCCAGCAGGAATAGGCAAGGGCTTGATAATCCCGAGTGTTTCTTGTGTCCTTGGTTTGTCGCACTGACAAACCTGACGTGTTTCTACACATTTCTTAGCATCCTCCATCATTGTGGGGCACCAATAACGTTGTACTAGATTTGCTGACGTCTTCTTGAACCCGAAGTGTCCAATGGCGTCATGAAATTCTCCTAGAAACAAACTACGAAAAGACTCTCTAGACAGAACACAACCTTTTATTCCTTGTGGACCCTGCCCCTTTGAGAAATAAAGCCTTCAGCCAGCACAAACTCTTCGGATGTGGCCTTGTCTTTGGCCTCAAGCTTGCGCATGATTCAAACATTACTGAATCCTCTCGATAGGCTTCCACCATGGATCAAGTTACATCATCTGAAATACCAAACTCAGCCGCAAACGCGCCCAGATAATATGCCCTTCGGGGTAGTGCATCCGCTACTTTGTTCAACTCACGACTTCAATCCACCTCTTCAGTGCGCATTTGAGAGAGTAGGTTGTGTTTTGATCCAGCGAATAGTCCCATGGTCAGACCTTATATCGAAGAATCTGCCAAGAAGGTTGTACCTCCAATGAATTAACGCCTCATAGAGGGCATAGAGCTCTCGCTCATAAGTGGACCTAGCTAGCTTTTGAGATGGCATCTTTTTGCTCATGTACTCAATCGCCTCAACTCGTTTCCCTCCCGTTGCACAAGGACCGCGCCAATTCCATATTGGCTGGCGGCAGTGGTTACAATAAATGGATTCTCACGATCGAGAAGCTTCAAGAGCTCATGATGCGTCAAACTTCAATCGCTTGAAGGCCCTCTTACAATCATTTCCCACTCCCATGGGGTGTCAAGGCGTGCGAGATCAGTCAATGGGGAAGCTATAGTACTTCAGTTCTTAACAAACAGGTGATAGTAGCCCGTCATGCCCAAGAATGACCTCACCTCAGTCACAGACTAAGGTTGTGGCCAGTTATGTATGATGGCCACCTTCACATCTTCAGGCCTTATTCCATCGACTAAAATTTCATGACCCAGACGCAAGATCTTGGTGCGACCAAACTCACATTTCTCCAAGTTAATCGTGTGTTGGTGCTGAGGAAGGAGACTGAGCACAAAATCAACGTGCTTTGCGTGCTTCTCCACAATCCTACTAAAAAATGTCATCGAGGTACACGATGATAAACTTATCTAAGTAGTCAAGAAAGATCCTATTCATTGCGTGTTGGAATGCGCCAGGAGCAGTGTATAAGCCAAAAGGCATCACCACAATCTCGTACAGACCATACCTGGTCAGAAAAGCAGTTTTGTGCTGATCCTCGAGCCTAATTATAATTTGATGGTACCCGAACTTCATATCTATCTTGGTGAAGTACCAACATCCCTGCACTCGGTCCAATAGGTCAACGATTCGAGGTAGGGGCTCTGCATTATAAACGGTGATGGCATTGAGGCCCCTATACTCAATGCACATCGCCGGGGTCTCCCCTCTCCTTGGAATGAATAGTCCTGGTGCACCATAAGGGGACGTATTAGGCCGATGTTCATTGAGTTGTCAGCGAAGCTCATCTAACTCAATTGGAGACATCCTATAGATACACCCTCTAGGTACTTCACTACCAGGAATGATTTTTATCGCATGGGTTATCTCCCTCTCAATAACCCCTCTTGGTTCCTAAAAAAGGCTTGGATACTTAGTGACGACTTATTCTATCTCGAAGTTACGGTCTCCCCTTTCTAAGAGACGAAGACTAAATACATACCTTCATATCGGTGGGCGCGACGTCCTGTTTGCGTTGTTAAATAATTCCTGAGGTCTGTGCTGGCTGACTTTAAACTGTCGGTTGCCCACCGGATGTTAGGAGAGCTGTAGTGACAGAAGTGGGAATGGAATTAGCTGTCAGTTATAGGTTAGGATTAGTACAAGTAACCTGATGGAAACGGATGTACGGGCACAATGGAAGAGAGTGCGTCTAAAGACGCAACAGAACCCAGCGGGAGCCGTTACATTCAGGCCCGCTTCGAGCGCATGACCCTAGGTCCTGGGAAAATGGCCAATCTAGAGGGGACATGCCTAATATTACAATGCTGCACCTGACAGGCCAGCCCAAGGCTGAGGGGAGAACGACGGCCCAAAGCCCGGGAGGGGTAGGATTTAGGATTTAGCGCAAAAGTCACAGGCGCCAGGACGAGGGAAGGGTTCTATCTTATCATAGAAGGAGCAGAGGGGCATGGTCAGTCGGATTTAAATCCATGAGGCTAGCTTAGGCAGGGGCGAGGGGTGGTATCAATGTCGTCCACTAGGACCTCCCAACCATAATGGGGAGGGACGTTGTGTGGATAGAAATTGTAACTTTTGACTTGCCGGTGGAAAAGCAATCGGCCTGCCACTCCCCAGAATAGAAGGAGCTCGTTTTCTTAGAAAAATAAAATAAAATGGAAAAGTAGTGCTTTTGCAGTGTCTCTCACAGTCAGCTCTGGCAGCCATCTCTGATCAACAGGACTTCGCAGGACACTCACGCCTAGGCCTATGCAAATAGTTATAAGCTCTTTTCACTCCATCTTCTGGTCGTCACTCATCCGGGTCTCCCCCTGGCCGTCTTCAAGTTTCCATAGCATCTTTAACATTCAGCACTTCACCTGTGTAAACCCCTGACATTTGAGTAGCCAAGCACACGTTGAAGCCGCCTCTCAAAGGGCATAGAACACATCAGAAGAACTAGTAGCTCAGGGAGAGTACTGCCTGGTTTCAGAATGACCCACGCGGGAGTGCCTAACCGCAGGCGTGAAGAGAAATGGTAGTAGCCTCTAGGATCCCTTATAGAGGAAAGGGATGCTTGAAGATCACAGTCAGTCACCTTTCTGGAAAGATACCAGCATCTATAGAAATCTTAGATTGGCCTGGTTCAACTGAATAGCACACCAAGACGAGGTAAGAGCATCAAAATTGAGTATAGACAGCCTACAGGGGCAGTTGGAAAGGGAAAAAAAAAAATTTCCAACGTCCAAGGTCTTCAAAGTTACTCGATCACCAACAACTAAGGCCTCAAACCCGGAAATGTACCCAATGAAATGGCCAGAGGGAGAGAGAGCGAGAGAAGGAGAGCAGGAGACGACAAAAGGAGCAAAGGAGGGAGGTGCAATCAGACTCGACTCAACACACTCTTCATGCATGTAAACAGCAATACAGCAAACTGGCGACATGCGCCCACACAGTACTCAGAGATATCGTAACCAGATAAGAGTTCTCTTGTCATTGGCTATGGCGGCTGTGCGCCCACACAACTCATTGTTCACACTCGGGATCACCCTGGATGTCCCACATGCAACACTCTGCACACTCACAGAGTACACACACACTGCACTCTAAGCTCAGCTATGGCAGCGATGGCTGCCGCTACCTATCGCTATGGCTACACTACTTCACTCTCGCCCACTTCGTCCTCGGGCCTCCTGCAGACCTCCTTGCACAAGACGCTGAAGCAGCGCTTCCGCATGGCTTCCGCATGAATGAATGAATGGCAGGGCGCAGCCTCTTGATTTATACTTCTGTGATGCGTTGGTCTGCACTGTGTCCCCTGGCCCATGGTGCACACAGTCCCAGACGGTACTTGCTTGACTGGACCGGACTGGGTGGACTGGGACTGTTGACTGTGCAAGGTGCACTTCCACCACTTGACCACTTGCCTCTGCTCAATGTAGGCTGACTCCGAAAGGCCACTTCTAGAAACTTCGACCTTGGCCTTTCGGTACTGTAGCAGCTACGACTTTGCCCTTTCAGGTAAGTAGCAGCTACGACCTTGACCCTTCGGACAGTCTACAGCTACGACCCCTGGACTGTCTAGACACCTACCCGATAGGTCTACAGTTCGAATCCCTGCTACCCTGTGACCTACGACATCCTACCTACAACTGGCGGTTCTACAGGTCGCAGGTTCAATCCTACGGGTTGACACAGATACTGTACACAGGTAAGGTGGGGAACTAGGGATCGAGCCCTGGGATCTGCATCAGCTACTGCAAATCGGTGAATACTGTTTCACTCCCGCCGGCCTAAATTCGAGGTCCTCCGAGAAAATTTCAGTCCAAGGCAGGACCTTTACCTTTTCTTTCCCGTTCATAGGCTCGGACTATATCGGGAGCTGTCTCTAGAAGCTCAGTCCTAGTGAACCACCGGTCGTCTTCTGGTTCTTGATATGAAAATCTGACTTTGTACTGTTTCTGGGGACGACCCTTGCCTCCTGTTCTGAACACATCTTCACCTACAATGCCGTCAATGTCGTATCTCCCATCCATATCAGGTGGAATCATGGATCGTCTAGATGGGAACTGATCACTTAATGTGCACGGCAACAACTTTGACGCATGGAAAACTGGGTCGGTGTGGAGGTGTAGTGGCAGTTCAATAGTGTAGGATGGACCATCTTCGCCACCCTTGACTTCTAACACTGGCCACGGTCCTCTATACGTGGGCAGTAACTTCTGCGAGATGTTCTCTTCAGGTGCAAACTCTTTAGAACTGACCCAGACTAAGTCGCCTACTTGGAACTGTGAGGGGCGACAACGCTTGTTAGCTTGCTCTATCATCCTGTGCTGGGCCTTCCTGAGGTTCTCTACGACAGTAGCTAGTTCTTTCTCGTGCTGCACAGCAAACTCCCTGGTCCCGGGCGGTAATCTGTGAATCTGATCCCGGTTCAGTCCTTCGAACGGTCGGCGCGGTCTGAAGGACTTGTGCAGTTCATTGGGAGTGCGGCAGGTGGACAGATGCACGCTGTTATTATACGCACTAGCTACTTTAGGCAACATCTCATCCCAGTTAATCTTATCTGGCCTAATGTACATGCGCAGAACTTGCTGTAGGATCTTGTTCATCTGCTCTGTCTGGCCGTTAGTCTCTGGATGGCGGCCGGACGACATCAGCAACTTAGATCCATATACTCCCATGAGTTCTTGCCAGTTCTGGCTGGTGAAGCGACTATCTCTACCATGACTTGGCTCTTACCATGCCTACTCTTGACTTGAGGGTCCATGAAGTCTATGGACACTGAGTCTCCCGGCTGATCCGGAATGGGCAAGGGTCTGAGAAGACCTAACGGAGCACACGTACTGGTCTTATTACACTGGCAGACTTTACAGCTGCGAACATATTCTATGCAGTCATTCTTCATCTCTGGCCAGGTATACGCGCGCATCAGATTGGCTAAAGTCTTTTGCCAACCAAAGTGACCCTCTGTGTCATGGCATTCTCCCAAGATCAGACTACGGATCTCTTCACTACTAGGAATGCACAACCGGTCAAAGACATTAGTCTTCTCAAAAAGCAACCCTTCAGTAGTGCGGTAATTCGGCTCGGTCTCTGGGGCCTCTTTGACTCTCTTGAGGAGGTCACTGTAGATAGGGTCCTGCGCGTAGGCGTCTCTAATCTTCTGCTGCAGATCTTTCCCTATGTCTAGGTAATGCACTATTGCCCCAAAGTAGTCATCCCTCCTACTCGGGGCATCCGCAACTACATTATACTTTCCCTTAACTGGCTTGAGCTCAAAGTCATATTGATCTATCTCTGCGGCCCACCTAGTAAGCTTAGGTGTCATCTTGGCCTGCATCTTTAACCATCTCAACGTCTCATGATCGGAATAGACTTTGAAGTGGCTCCCAAGCAAGTAGTGCTTCCAGTGTTCTAAGGCTTGCCTGAGAGCGTAGAGTTCGCGCTCATACGTCGATGTCGCTACCTTTTCTGAAGGCATTCTAGCGGACATGAACTCTACGGGCCGACACCCATGGCCATCGTCTTGTTGCAACACAGCACCTATGTTGTACTGACTAGCGTCCGTAGTGACGACAAAAGGTAAGGATGCAAGGCTACTTTAAGGACTGGGTACTCTATCAGTGCCTGCTTCAACTTCTTCATGGCAGACGTGCAGTCCTTATCCCACTTCCAGATGGTCTCCTTCCTGAGCAATCTGCAAAGGGGAGCAGCGATGGTAGAGAAGTTCCTCACGAACTTCCTGTAGTAGTTGGCTAGGCCTAGGAACGACCGCAACTCTGTCAACGTACGCGGCGTTGGCCAATCTCTAATCGCTGCAATCTTACTATCTTCTGGCTTGACGCCGTCTCCATCTAAGACGTGGCCTAAATGCAAAACTTGGGTCTTCGCCCAATCGCACTTCTTTGCATTGATCTTGAAGTTGGCTTCTCTCAGCTTCTCCAAGACCTGCCTGAGATGACCCTGATGCTCTTCGAGGGTCTTACTAAACACTAAAATATCGTTTAGATAGACTACAACAAATCTATCCAACCATGGCCTAAACAGATCGTTCATAGAGCGCTGGAACGTTGCTGGCGCATTGGTCAGTCCAAAGGGCATCACGATGAACTCGTAGAACCCATATCTAGTCCGGAAGGCCGTCTTGTACTGATCATCGGGATGAACCTCTATCTGATGATATCCGGACTTTGGATCTATCTTAGAGAAATACTTGGCCCCCTGCACGCGATCTAAGAGATCATCTATCATAGGTAGTGGCTTAGCATTCTTCACTGTAATTGCATTCAGACCCCTATAGTCGATACACATTCTCAGCTCTCCCTCTTTCTTGGGAACAAAGAGGACAGGTGCTCCAAAAGGAGACGAACTGGGCCTAATCCAACCCTTTTCAAGGAGCTCGTCCAATTGCTTCCGCAGCTCCTCCAACTCCCGCGGGGACATCCTATACACATCGCCCTTAGGAGTTCTACTGCCCGGCTCTATCTCAATACGGTGTTGGATGGGCCACGGCACTGTTCCTGTCGGCGGCTCAGCTAAGTCCCTAAACTCTTCCAGCAATTTGGCAATAGCAGGGTCTATAGGCTTTTCTTCCTTAGGCTCAGTGACTGGCCTAACATAGCCCACAAAAACCTGGTCCTCTAGCTGCTCCTTTTTCACTAATCGTGCAAAGGCAGCAGCACTAAGGCAGCAATGTGCCAGGGAGTCATCTACTCCTGACACATGGAACAGGCGGGCAGTCTTAACACCGCCTGACGGGCTAGGGAGCCTACACTCGTGCTCTCTCAAATGGAGTGCGGCCCCGGCTGCCTCTCCCCAGTCCATTCCTAGGACTATGTCAAATGGGAGGTTGTCTTCTACAAGGAGAGTCAGGGAATGGAGGACTCTCTCCACTTTCCCATCCTTCTCTAGGCGGAAGTACGCCTGGACTCCCTCTACGTAGTCCTCTACTCGCATAGTGTGATTATCCGCGAGGATACTGACTACAGGGTCTGCTAACTTTTGGACTTTCAATTGCAACTTTAACTTCTGCAGCGCCTTCCTACTGATGTAGCTACGAGTGGCTCCACTATCCACTAAGGGGCCAACTCTACCTCTAAAAATCTCTGTATCTACTAGTATAAGTTGCCCTTTATTCTTTTTTTTCATTTTGGCCCAGACGGGCATCCTCTCCTTCAACTCTTCAGCCACGCCTGTGAGGGATGTATCTAGAGAGACTCTAACACAAGCAGTCTCCGGACAGCTATCTAGACACAGGCCTGCAACCTCTGCCATAGGCACATGTGGTGTGGGAGTCTCCTGCCGGCTAGCGCTATTTTCCCCACATGGCCTTGTGGTAGGGGCAGTTGCTACCCCTACCGGCGGCTGCCTTTTGGCCCTTGAGCAGCCGTTCGGGTCTCTCGGTACTTAGGACAGTATTTGATGATATGGCCCGGGTCACCGCAGAAAATGCACTGGCCCCGGTCCAATCGCTGTTGCCATAAACTCTGGTCCAGACCCAAAGCCCCCCAAGGCTTACCCTGCGGTAGCCCTGGGTGCCATCCTCCTACCCTGTAGGGAGACCTGTTCCTAGGACGGTTTTGCGGGGGACCTTGACCCCTTCCTCCCGCTTGGCGGTTTCCTCCTCTGCCACCAACCCCCTGATTGCCCTGAAATCCGCTCCCTGAGGCCCGGCCCCCTTGGCCCTGGCCTCGTCCTCCTCCTTGCGGCCTCCCTCCGCCGGGAGAGCAGTGTAAGTCCTCCCCTGGCCCACACCGCTGCCCTTCTCCTCTAACCCCCACTCAATCTGATCGTAGGGGATCTCATCCACACTACCCTCATCTAAGGTTAGGACAAGACTATCCTTAGTCTTCACTTGTCCAGAGATAGTGCGGCCCTTCGATTGCTTACCCTTATCTAAGTCCTTGTGCCAGAAGGTGGAGATTGACACTGACTTTGCCTCAAAAGCCACCACCTCACGACTAAGGGAATCGTATGTGGTGGCAGGGTCTTCGCTCTTCGCGAAGAAATGCCTGCGAAAAGCTTCGGGCATAGCTCGATAGAAGAGGGCAACCAACTGGGTGTCTGTGACCCCGTGGTTGGGGACAACTACCAATTCGTCCATTGTGCTCTTGAGTGCCCTGGCACTCTTCCACTTACGAGCGTGGATCGTCTGGAGTTTATCTGAGGCCTTGACACTTCGAGCGACATCAGCAAATCGCTCGCGCAGCAACTTCAGAAAATCGGCGAGGGGAGTGAACGACGAGTACGCAACTGCATCATCGTTGCAGTTGGCAGCACGAACTAGGGACCTTGCAAAATTGGCGGCCTCGTCTCTAAGCGCGTGGATAGCAATTAGAACATGCTGATCTGCGGAGACCTGTTGCAGATGCACATAGGTCTTCACGTTGGCCTCCCAATTGTCAAAGTTCTCTTCCCTTTTTCCACTGTAGGAATCAGGGAATTTGACTTTGACCGGTTCCCGGCGCGGTCGTGCTTCCTCTTCCTTGGGAGCTGCCGCCTTGATGCCTTCAATGGCGCCGACACAGAACCGCTCAGTCTTCTCGAGGCGATGACCCACCTCGGTGCCTACAGCGCCTACCAGCTCGCGAGCAAAGTCCCGGAATCCCAATCGTATTGAACGCACAGCTATGTGTTGACTCCTACTAAAGTCATACTGCTCCGCCTGGATTCGTGCTAGGCGTGCAACGTTTCGGGCTATGACCTGCATTTGCTTTGGGAGTTCAGTCTGGGCGGCTAACTGCTCTTCTATCTTTTTCACCTCCTCTAACTCTTCTGCCGCCTCTGCTGCCGCGTCTACTCTCCTCTTTTTCTCCCTCATCACTGCCAGTTTCCACTCCATCTTCTTCTCATCTTCCAACGCTTGCCGCTTTATGACATCTTCTTCTGCATCCCAAGCTCTCATAGAGGCTTCCTGGTCATCCTTAGGGATATACATCGCCACCTCTTATTCTTCGCCCAAGGATAAGTTGGCGACCCACTCTGAAATCCGCTTCCCATCTCATCATCTTTGCTGCCACTGTATTGCCCTCTCCTCCTTTGCAGTGGCGTTTCGTCTTCTTCCTCTTCCTCTTCCACCTCCTTCAACTTCTCTTCTTCCTTTTTCAATCTTTCTTTCTCCCTGGCCATCTCTTCATCAATCTTTTTCAACTTGGCCGCCTGCTCCTCCATCAAGGCCTTCTTCTTGGCCTCCTTCTTCTCCCTTCTCTCCTTCAGAATGGCGGTGGCCTTGGCCTCTTCTTCAGGCGTATAGGGGTGTGTGGTGATGCCACCCTTCGTCTCTACCCTACACGCGAAGGTGTTCCAAAATCCCAAAGGGAACATGAAACGCCAAAGGGTCCCCCAAAGGGAGAACCCGACAAGTAACCCATACATCGGATAGTCATCCATCGTGGTGTTAGGTGCACGACAAAAGTCCCACTCCTCACCACTTAGACCTACCCGGACACTGACCTACTGACTGACTCTCTAAGGACCACAGGGTAAGAGCCTGTCAACTATGGTCACTAACCCAAGACTACTCTAAGGCTGTCACTACTGAACCAATAGCTGATCTGGAGGCATTAAAGGAGATCCCCCGTAACTCCTCAAGAATTCTTTAACGTCGCAGTCAGGACGACGTGATCAGCTGGTTCTGCCTTTCCGGACTACTGTGCCACACCGAGCAGCCCGCCGGTCTGTACCGGTCCTTGGAGGGGTTCGTATCCCTCAAAACAGTCGAGTTGTCAGACACAGATCATCAGCCTTACTAGGTCCGGTACGGGGGTGGTTCAAACAGGCCCTCAATACTTAAAGATTGGCTGGTGTGTCAGCCCAGGCTGCCGTTCAAGCCCACTGTGTCCTACCAACCGTTTCCAGCCGATCAGCACCGGTCCTTGGGAGGGTTAGGCCCCCCTGGAAAGTTGGATCAGCCACAGTCTTAGCCCTACAAGGTCAGACAAGGGTTTCGTCATCCAACCCTATCCTTCATACACAGAGTCCTAACACCTAGGACAAAAGAGACTCAATGCAGAAAGAAGAGACAGACAGACTCAGACTCAGCAAGTACCGTAGGGTGAGTGCACATCCGCAGGGTAAGGGGATAGGCTAAGGGCTCAGCGAGATATCACCAACTCCAGCTTGGTCAAAATCTTGGTCAGCAGCTCCAGTCAACACCTTGGTCAACACTGAGTCAACGTGGACAACCCTCGGTCAACGCTTGGTCAACCTCCTTGGTCAACGCCTGGTCAACTCTCTGGTCAACCCCGGGTCAACCCTCTGGTCAATGCTCTGGTCAAAGCCCGGTCAACCCTTCACCTCGGCTATGGCTGCCGGCACCTTCACCTTCGTCACCGTCGCCGCTTACTTCCCTTTCCTTCACTCTTCTTCTTCTTCACCTTCTTTGTTTTTTTTTTGTTCACCCCGGCTATGTCTGTCTTCTTCTCCAGTATCTCTCCTTCCACACTTCTCTTTCTCTCTCTCCTTAGTCCCTCCTCTGTCCTCCCTATCTCTCTCCTTCGGTGCCCTGTGATGAAGCTCCGCAGCTATGGCCACTATCTTCCTTCTCCGGCGGACAGCGCAGCTCACTTCATAGGTAAGTGACAACCAATCTTGGATCGCTCATCTCTCCCTCTCTCTCTCTCTCTCTCTCTCTCTCTCTCTCTCTCTCTCTCTCTCTC